TCAGGGTCACAAAGGAAGTGTGGTGTTTGGTATCCATCTCCCTGTAAAGTGCAGATCTCCGGACAAATTTACTTGTTTGGATGTTCTGTACACACTTCCTATAACGCTGGTTTTTGCGCTGCTGTTTTCCTTTGAGGATCGAACGAGCTGTGGCGGGGGTCCGACGGCCTGCCAGAAGAGACTTTGGGCAGATTCATCAGTTAAGAGTCGCAAGTTTATAAGAGGTCACCAGTTTGAATCAGTCAGCGAGATAAGAGACCTCGGTGTATGGATGACGTCAACTCTCAAACCATCGTCTCACTGTGCCAAGGTGTCAAAGCCGGCTTTGGGTATCCTAGGCGCAATTAAAATATTCTTCCTCAATCTTGACGAAGAACTTTTCAGACACCTTGACACCCGGCAGTTACGGTAGGTCCTGAACATCGGGCTGTCTAGCCATACGCCGTCCACGAATCTATGTGACAAAATGTGACGGCTGTTCTCGCCGAGACCATCGAGAAGTTTCTTAGCCGCAGGCAATTACCGCAAGGAACGCCTCGGCGATTTGTAAACGACCTCGTTAAATTCTGCCGGGACGCATATCGTTCATTGTCGGCAGAGAACACTGGAAAGGTCACTCTACACCACATTATCAAGGGCCTAATCGCCCTCATCGACTCACTCACGCTGCAACCGCCCACACTACTGGATGACGCAACAGAACGCGCGGATCAGTTCCTGCAAGCCGAAAAACACGTGTCCCTCCGGAAAACCCGTGGAATACACTTCCATTACGATCGCTGTCGGACAGCAACATGAGTTTTAGGCCATGGCATTTCGGCCAGTGACCCCGGAACTCAGGTAGGTATCCGGATCCCGGCACTCTCCATCGCCCACGTGGATTCCAGCCACTGCAGACACGGTACCCTCAGGGCCAGTGTGGGATTCAGACAACACCTGCTGCAGAACGAACACTCAAAAACCCAACCGGTAGTGTTTCTATCTCGCACTGTTAATAGATAAATAAATAATTTTGTTGAGTACCCTTGAGATTACTTTTATTGCAAGTAAAAATAAAATTTCAAGAATATTTTAGAACAAGTAGACCGATCCTGTACGGTATTCAGTTCAGGGTTATAGAGTGAAGAGTCACATATTAAAAACGGTCAGCGAGCAGTGAAAAACTCCTCATGGAAAAGACAAAATGGATATTAATTAGTTAGCTTTTAAGGAGGAAAAAACTGCCGCTCATGAAATGGTTAATGTGCGGGTCGAATATGACCGGCCTGCGTATGGTGTTGTATAAGAGATTCAAAACGGAAATCGTCAAGGTAGAATTCCCAAACCGGATCAGGTTATACGCCTCGAAGTGGCGAGGCAAGAAGAACCTGGGGGCCATCGGTCAGAACTTGCTTAGAGTCCAACCTAGGAGGGGGCATTAAAGGCTAGGGCGGTCAGGAAAGCGTAGAGAGGAGAATGCAGCCCTGAGGCCTCTTCGCTGACTGACGAGACTACGGGCAGATGCGGAAACAGAGGATTCCGCCGCGATCGTCATCAGACCACTTGGGATCGAAATGGGGAGTTGACATCAAGAAACACGAAAATCATCGATTAGGGGTGAGGGTTGGAACTCTCAGTTGTCAAAATGCATCCCTGATGAGGCTCGACGATTAGCGAAACGGGGGCGGATTAGAGCGCGCACGTCAAACCAGCCCAGTCACTTCCTTAAGAGGATTTGACCGGAAGGATAGCGCGTTCTATGAAGGACACCGTGCATGAACTGAAAAAGGAAAAAATCTAAATTTCTGTTGAGGGATTCTGGAAGGCCAAACATACACAGAGGAGAAAATGTGAGCGGATACGATATTTTGGTGATGGCACCTTGAATTCCCGATGGCCTTTTCTCAATGTCACAGAGAAGCTTGTCCGGAAAGGATAAGGAAAATAAAAATCTAATTGAGTAAGTATTCAAATAAAGGCGTCGCCTTCGCTTAAAGTTTGCAGATTATCTGAGGATCTCATATCTATTGGAAGGTTATTCCACAGGAAAGTATACCTGGAAGCGAAAAAACGGAGCACTTGGAGGTGGAGGAAGCGGAAGGAGGTATAATCAAGGAGGAATTGCGAAGATTGTAAGGGCGACTAGTAGGGGTAAGTGCTGAAATCCGAGGAAGATTTGAACTATTATTACTGCGAAAGGGGAGACAGAAGCCTTCTTTCAGTCCTCGAACCCATAAAAATTTTAGATTAGTTATCTGGCATCTATCTGATTGGGAAATATTAAGATATGCCGTGCGTAAGAGTCTTCTAGTAAAATGTCTTTAAATACTTTCAATTTTTAAACGACTAGCTAAGTTCATCAAATCAAAGAAAAGACGAAAATACTCAAGAATGGGAAGTACAAACACTCGATAAAGTCTTCATTTAATTTCTGGGAGATAGAAATTTTGGGGAACAAGGCCACAGATCTGGCTAGTCTTGGCCGTAATTCTCTCGGCGTATAGCGAGAGATCTAGATTATTTGTGTAGCTTAAGCCTAAATCCTCAATGGTGACACATCAAGCCATAGGTGTGCCCGAAAGACCGCTGATTGGGGTAGCCTATCAGGTCCAAAACACATATAGTGACATTCGGATTGAGAGAATTCCACTTTAGCCACTTTGATGATCTCTCTTT